AGATCATTGTGGTAATGGTGTGACAAACTGGAAATGTATGATTGATAAGTTTGGTATATGTTTGCCAAAACATTGATATAAAATTTGTAGTATAAATGGTGTTATTTAATATGCAAAACAAAATTCATATAAATTTATGTAAAGGTATTTAAATCGTGTCATACAAACGGAGCAATCGGTATCACATTGAACACCCGATGGGTGGCACTCATACTGTATGGCTACTCATAATTATATATTTGTATGAGTCTTATTAGAGACACGTACTGGAGCTCTGTATACTGTATGATATAGTATTCATATCAGTATTCGGATAATATTAGGTAAGAATTTTAATTTATACGCTGATTATGCTATGCTATAACCATTATAAAATTAATACTGTATAATTAAAAATTATTATTTTTATATTTCATAATACTTATGTTTTAATCTGAAAAAGTATTCTTAACAATTTATTAGTTATTTGTTTTGTTTTCATATTTAATATTTATTATTAAAGTAATTACTGTGAATTTAAAACTAAATGAAGTACACATTTGTAAATTAACAACTTTATTTTTCGGAATAATTAAACAAAATACTAATAAGTTAATAAAAAAAGATTACTATATAATATTAAATATCATATTTAGTTAAAAATATTATTCTAATTTTAAATCAAAAACAGTAAAAATACGTTTACCGGAAGGCTCATAATTTATTATTATTTTTTGTGCCATTGTATTTTATAAAAAATTATTTTAAAAATTATACCATCCTAAAATTCTAAAATATTCTAAAATATGAACCTACATGAGCACAAAATTATAAAATAATTTCTTATTTTATATAATTTTTAAAAGAATAACAAATCAGTGTGGCGAATTTGTTTTAACATTACGGTTATACTAGTAAACAGTATTGTACATAATAGAATCATATTACACATATATAAAATAATACATGTATAATCATATTAAATCAAATTTGATATCAGTTTGAAATTTTATTTGATTGTTTATTTAATTCCATTAAATTAAATTGTAGATCAGCAACAATAATATTAAAAATGGCCCAGTTCTTACCGTTAGCAGCACCGTTAATAGCAGTGGCACAAGCCATTGCTGAAAATCAAAATGAGCAACGTCAAATTAAGTTAAGAGATAATGAAAATAGCATGGCCATGGATATGATCAAGCGGCAAAACTCCCTTGTTAACAATACCAGGATGAAGGAAATTAATGATTACATGCGCAATATGCAGACTGGCATGACCACCATAATTGACCAGTGTCATCGTCGTGAAGCTAGACAAGTGGCGGTTATTAATGATCTGATTGAAAATCAGAAATCCCAGCTGGATAACTTTAATCAGTTGGTTGTAAATCAAAAATCCCAGCAGGACAACTTTAATCAGTATGTTAATTACCATGTTATATTAATATGCATTTTGGTGTTGAATATTTAGCAACCCTGATGCGTTATAAACTTTTAATTCATTAAGAGTTATTGTAATGATTTATTATTATTTATAGGTTTACGACTAAGATTACCCAGATGAGCGAGCGTCAACATAATGACCATGTCACTTTATTGACCGCGCTAATTTCCATGCAAATGGAGACTAAACGCTTCATGATGCTAATATTTACGTCCATGATGTTCATTATTATTGCCCTGGTCCTTGGTTATTTTCTGCGAAACTAAATGCAATAATAAATTATTACAAATTTTATTGATAGTTTATTTTTATCACCCTCGGACATAAAAATTAGAGTGAAATGTAATGTTAAAAATTATAACTTATAATAACAATAGGTCTGAAAAATTTATGTCATATTAAAGCCCAGTTATCTTACTGTAAACCACAACAAAAATTAGTTCATTTGAATTGATTGTCTATAAATGATGACTGATAAACAAGTGGTAGTCCTAAACCTCTTTTGCAAATATTTTTGAGTGCTTTGCATTGAATATCATTACACAAACAGTGTTGTGTTAAGGGTTTTGATAAAACACTAAAACACATACATTTTTGTAATGCGTTCTCCCATTAATCGCAAAAGGGGTTTAGGACTACCACTTGTTTATCAGTCATCATTTATAGACAATCAATTCAAATGAAATAATTTTTGTTGTGGTTTACAGTATGATAACTGGGCTTTAATATGACATAAATTTTTCAGACCTATTGTTATTATAAGTTATAATTTTTAACATTACATTTCACTCTAATTTTTATGTCCGAGGGTGATATTCTAATTATAATAGTAATCTTATACCGTTTATGTTACTTTGGGCATAAATTACTTTTAAATTATTTATATAAATCTAATAATATCTATGTTATCCTAATAGTTTTAAAAATGTGAAATAATTTGAAAGCTGCATAATGATTTAAAGATAACGAGTATATTAATGAATATTTATCAAGTTTTATATGAGTAAAAAAATAAATTCAAATTACAATTACAATTTAAAAACCTAAATTTTACAATAAAATTTCAACTAATATACTCTGTTTGTATTATTTTTAAATCATATTTTTTGTTTATTACATTTCTAGTACTGTATTAATTTATTATTATTTTTTTATTATGAATGTGATTAATTCTAAAAGATCATTTATGTTTTAACAAAAATAAAATAAATGTACTATTTACAATACATTAATAAATTAGGTTTGAATGTATTTATAAAATGTTTTATTTTGCAAAACTTCATGAATGTGTTGTGTATGTGCTATGAATTACAGTCTTAACGTTATAAAACAAAACTGTTTTTTACTGCAATTCACACATATTATGATTTTGAATGCAAATTATTCTCAGTAACCCTTTCCAACAACATACCAGTCCCACCACTTCACTGGAAATAGTTTTATATAATTTCAATGTTTGTTTAGTATTTGTTTAACTGAAATTTGATTTTTAAAAATAATATCATGAAACTAATTGTTATATACAATAGAATTTCATAGAATATATCGCAAATTTGCACAATTAGTTTAATATGCTACATTTTTAAAATACAAAATATTTTACATGAATATTTATTTACAAAATGCCCCAGTTTAATTATATTTAACAATTTCCTTTAAATTTATTAAGTTATTTCAATCTTGCTCATATATTGTCACAGTATTTAGATCATTGTGGTAATGGTGTGACAAACTGGAAATGTATGATTGATAAGTTTGGTATATGTTTGCCAAAACATTGATATAAAATTTGTAGTATAAATGGTGTTATTTAATATGCAAAACAAAATTCACATAAATTTATGTAAAGGTATTTAAATCGTGTCATACAAACGGAGCAATCGGTATCACATTGAACACCCGATTGGGTGGCACTCATATTAGTAAACAGTATTGTATAATCATATTAAATCAAATTTGATATCAGTTTGAAATTTTATTTGATTGTTTATTTAATTACATTAAATTAAATTGTAGATCAGCAACAATAATATTAAAAATGGACCAGTCCATACCGTTAGCAGCACCGTTGATTGCTGAAAATCAAAATGAGCAACGTCAAAATAAGTTATGGGATAATGAAAATCGCAAGGTCATGGATATGATCAAGCGGCAAAACGCACAAGACTCCCTTGTTATCATTACCAGGATGAAGGAAATGGCTGATTGTATGCGCAATGTGGAGACGCTTATTAATGATCTGATAAAATCCCAACAGGATAACTTTAATCAGTTGTTTGCAAATCAGAAATCCCAGCAGGACAACTTTAATCAGTATGTTAATTATCATGTTATATTAATATGCATTTTGGTGTTGAATATTTAGCAACCCTGTTGCCTTATAAACTTTTAATTCATTAACAGTTATTGTAATGATTTATTATTTATAGGTTTACGACTAAAATTACCGAGATAAGCGAGCGTCAACATAATGACCATGTCACTTTATCGACCGCGCTAATTTCCATGCAAATGGAGACTAAACGCTTCATGATGTTTACGTCCATGATGTTCATTATTATTGCCCTGGTCCTTGGTTATTTTCTGCGAAACTAAATGCAATAATAAATTATTACAAATATGAGTGACAGTTTGTTATTTTTATTTTTATCCTAATTATTATAATAGTACAGTAATCTGATATACCGTGTGTTACTTTTGGTTATAAATTACTTTTAAATTATTTATATACAACTGATATTATCTAAGTTCACATTGCTAAGTTTATTAGTGAATATTTTAATAAACTAAAACTTATATTTATATTAATAAAAATAATTAGCTAGTATATTTATTGTATTGGTTGTGAATATAGCTAAGAAACTGCGAATATTACTGCACGTCATGAAAATATGGCATCGGGTGGTCCCAACAAGTTTATATGACCGAGCTTAAAGTAATGGCCAGCATAATAGGTGTGGGCACGTGTTCGCGTTTGGAGGTTTGCTTGGTAATAAAGTTACCGTTATTATACTGGCAATGACCCTAATGTGCTCATTACTAGCGTATATTAAGTAAATTGTTTCTAGTCCCGAAAATGTAAGTTTGTTTAGAGCAAGGTTAATTATGGCACAATTAGGTGGACCCATTGATGAGATTACAAGTGATTTGATTAGACAGATATGTCCATGGTAAGATTACAATGTAAATAATATTGTATTTTGGAATATATGGTATGATTTAAGTGATTTTTATTTTTATATTTTTAAAAATTAATTTTGTTATACTTTTTGTATAAAATACTTTTATATGTCAAATGATAATTCTGTAATATAATAAAATACAACAATTTGTTTAAATAGATTTATATTGTTATAAATTTAGTAGATAAGTTTACACTGTATTACAATCTAATTTGAATAATATTAAATCATAATTAATTTTATTTATTTTTCAAAATTATTATTAAGTTATAAAACAACCTTAACAATTAAAATTAGTATGTTAATATTATTTTCTAGATACAATAATTTATTTAGATAATTATGAAAAATTTAATAAGTTATTTACTTAAAATTAAATTAAATGTTTATTTATAAATATAAAACAAAATAATACTGTAATTCATAAAACAAATCAAACAAAATAAAATACAAATGTTATCTAAATTTCCCTAAAGTATAATACATATTATAATACAAATGAAGTGAAATGCAAAGGAATGTCTCATATATTATAAATTATTTCCAGACTTAAACACTTCAATCAAGACATAAACTTGTTATAAATTAATTGTAACTTTTGGACAAAAATTAATTATCTATAATATATTTTTGAAATAGATACCTTGACTAATCGTAAAAATCTGGTATAATTTTCATTCAAAAATTATAAAATAAATTGCTGCAATTCTATAAAGTAATATTGGGTCTGAGTCTGGCAAAAATTAATAATTTACGGTCACAATTATTAATCAATAAATGCCAAAATAAATTTTTTAATGGGTTACAAAAAACTCTTACAGTATCAATGTGCAACAATCTCAAGAAATATTATGAAAGACAGATTTAGAAATTAGTTTATAAAATTTACAAACCATGGTCATTTAAAAATATTTTGTTTTTATAATTCAGTATATTAAATATAATTTAAGTTTGCCAACAGTAAAAATAAAGTTTATATTATATAATCAATTAAACATGTAAATTAGTGTTGACAAATTACAATATTTTAAGTTCTAGTAACTAGAGTATTTAGCAAAATATAATATTTGATACCATAGCAAAAAATTACTAAAATCACTACTCAATTAATATGCAAGGTTATTATTGGTATACATCACATACCAAATAAGGGCAAAATATTAGTGTCTGCTTTAAATTGATTCCTATATACCATTGACGTGGTTTCGATGACTTTTCCTATGAAATGCCATCCCATTTAAAACTAACTGTTAAGAAAACAACTCGTAATATGAGATCATGTTTGTTGGATAGGTATGACATTCATATTAATGTATGCGGAGTGGAGTGGTATGTTTGAGAAGGGGATTTCATTAACAAAACAAAAACATAAACACGTACCGGTGCCAATTTATGATTATAAATTACAATGTAGTTATTGCAAACGCTGTCAGTTTGTGGTAAGCCTGCGAAGGGGACGGTAGTGCGCGAGGACTATGGGGTCGAGTCTATCAACGAGTGATAAATACGGGCCAAACGTGGGCTCATTTATAACTTATGATGAGATTTACAAAAAGGTCGCACCGGGAGATCTCATCGAAATCCAGAGGCCGTATTGTTTCAAGCATTGGGTGCTTTACGAGATCACCAAAGATGGCAATGTCTGGTGCTATCACGTGACCAGTGAAAAGAAGTTGTCGAAAATTATCGGATACTTGAGATACGAACCATTACTAGATATCCTCGAGAGGGAGGAGGAGGTCGAGGAAAAGGTCGAGGAGGAGGTGGAGGTGGATGTGAACGGCAAAAAGACGAAGAAAAAGGTGATAAAGACCGTAAAGAAAGTGGTGAATCGTCTTGACTTGTGCAGGGTGAATAATCAAGAAAAAAAAGCCACAAAAGAGGGAGTGACAGCACGGCCATTGGATGATGTGTTTCGAGAATTGCGGGCAATGAAGGACAAGGAAGTGGAGTATCAGTTCAATGTAAGGGTCGTATTATACACATTATTAACTAGTTATTATACTCTGCTTATAATATGACTTCAACACGCTAAACAATACAGGAGAGTCATATGAAAGCAAAATATAATGTACCTCTCACATTGCGACATTTAAAAATGTATCAAAAATTATTATATTTATAATCAAATTGTTTGCATATGTGCCGTGAATGTAGATCAATAACTGCGAGTATTACTGCACTCTATGGAAGTACGGGAAGGGGTGGTCAGTGCAGGTGGATTTCATGGAGACCAGGTGTGCGGGGGTGCCACATGGGGTGGGCTGGTCCTTGTTAATCATCGGAGCAGGTACGAAATGTGCCTGGGTTTTTTGTTCCGGTGGAGCAATGTTGCTGTTAGTGATGGCCTACTATGGGATCAAGCATTGGAAGAAACCTATTGAATGGATTAAGGCGTTTCTTAAGCAACTAAACGGCAATCAATTGATCCTACAGTTGACACCGGCTTAAGTCATACTCAATCAGTATTATAACGATGAGCAATCTCAATTTAAAATAAAATCTCAATTTAAAATAAAATTTCCTTTAATTTAATTTTTGAATATATTAAATATTTTAAATAAATGATTATTACATTAAATATTATACTGGTCGTAAAACTTTATAATAAAATATTAAATTATACAACACTGAAATAAAATATGTTATGATATGATAATGTATGTAATATTATTTTGCAATCAACCTTGTTAATTAAAATTTTTTATTATTCTATACATAAATATAAACAAAATAAACTAAATTTTAGAAAAATAAAAAGCAAATTTTAAACTATAGAACAAATTACCACAGTATTAAACTTACTTGTTCATTATTAATATATTTATGTGGATTAAGTGTTAATTTATAATTCAATAAAATATAATTAGTGATGAATAACATTACTTCACACAAAACACAATATTATTAAATTAAATCCAAAAGTAATTCAAACATACTGTGAGTGTCTGTCTATATGGGGACGACTCTATCAACGAGTACTACAAAGGGACCAAATATGGCCTTAATTTCACATACGATGAGATCAAACAAGTGGTCGCATCGGAAGATCTCATCGAAATACAGAGGCCCAGGTATAGTATTTGGCGATATGCGAGTCCAATGACCAGGGTAATGTTTGGTACAATCACGTGTCATCACTCAAAAGTAGGGCTATGAGGTGTACGTGAGATATGAATCACTCATTGATATACTGCCAAAGAGGACGGGACTGAAGGGTGGGACGTGTGTCGGGTCAACAATCAGGAACAGGAGGCCCACAAGACTGCACTTATAGCCCGACCACTGGATCGGGTGTTAGAGGAGTCCATGGTAAGATTACAATGTAAATAATTTTGTATTATGCAATATATGTATGATTTTATGTATATATTTTTAAACTAATGTTATAATTTTTGTATCAAATAATTTTATATTTTAAATAATAAATATTTGAATATTTTTGTATTATCAATAATAAATTCTGTTTACATATTAGTATAATAGGTTTAACTGTATAACTTAAGTAATTAGAATAATATTAAATCAAAATTAATTGTAATAATTTTTCAAAATTAATATTTAAATTATAAAACATGCTTTAAATTAATATTAATAATTTAATATTATTTTCTAGATACAATAATTTATTAGGATAATTATGGAAAATTTAATAAGTTTATTTATAAATATTAAACAAAATTATGAAGCAATTTATAAAACAAATGTGACATAATTAAATACAAATTTAATCCAAATTTCCCTAAAATATAAAATACTTGTATTTATTATAATATAATGCAAATGAAGTGAAATGCAAAGGAATGCCTGACATGTGAGACACAGTGAAGGACATCCTGTTGACAAATCCCTAACCCTTTGTATACTTACGTAAATCGGTATTAATCAGTCGCTAAACTTGTATTAAAATTTAATAAAAATTAATTATTTCTATTTTTGGGCATAGATTTCAAATAATTGTAAAGTAGTTAGCAATCAATCACAAAAATTAATTGCATTGCGAATATAAAAAAATTATATAGCTTACTATGAATTGATTACTTAAGTCATAATTTTAGTTTTCTAAACGTTTTTTCATTTCTCAAAAAATTTTCATTTAAAACATTATTTCCTCAAACATTTCATGATCTGAAAAACAGATTTATCTTTAGTAACCCTTTCCTACAACATATCGCTCGCTGGGAATAGCTTTAAGCAATTTTAAGGATTAGTGTGTTTTAAATGCAAATTTTACTTTTCAAAGTTGTCATAAAATTTATTGTTATATGCAGTTAGACCGGTACCGGTAATGAATAATTTAGAAATGAGAAAACGCTTCATGATGCTAGTATTTACGTGCATGCTCATTATTATTGCCTTGGTCCTTGGTTATTTTCCGCTTTATTAAATTATTACAAATTTTAGTGACAGTTTGTTAGTTTTATTTTTATTCTAATTATTATAATAATAATCTGATATACCGTTTATGTTACTTTTGGGTATAAATTACTTTTAAAATATTTATTTATTATACATCTGATATTATGTATGTTATCCCAATAGTTTGGTAAATGTGAAATAATTTAAAGGCTACATAATGTTTGGAAAACATAGTAATGAATATCAATGTTTATATGTGCAACAAAATTATAATTCAAATTTATTTTAAATTTTCTATTAATATAATTGTATTATTTTAAAATCATATTTTTGTATATTACATTTCTAGTACTGATTAACAGTATTTATGTTAAATTATATTTTTTTATTATGTGCTATTATTTTAAATATCATTTAAGTTTTAATAAACACTTTCTAAAAGAAATATTTTACAATTAATACATTAAGTTTAATTGCATTTTTAAAATATTTTAAATAAATGGTTTTTACATTAAACATTGAAATACTAGGCGTACCATTTTATAGTGAAATGTTAAAGCATAATATTATGTTAGCATTGAAATAAAATATGTTGTGATAAGATAACGCATGTAATATTATTTATCAGTACAATAAAATCGGTTAATTTAAAAATAATTAACAAAATTATTGTATATTATATTATAAATATCAATATAGTTATTATCAATAAATTATTGCAAAATTTATTTACATTTTAGAAAGGTAAAAATTCAATTTTGAAATACAGTACACTTTACCACAATTTATTAAACTTACTTGTTAAGTATAAATATATTTATGTGGACATAGTGTTTGTTTATAAATGCAATGAAATATCATTAGTAATGAATAACATTATTTCACACAAAACACAATACTATTAAATTAAATGCAAAAGTAATTCAAACATACTGTGAGTGTCTATCAATATGGGGACAACTCCATTAAAGAGTGCTAAAAAGTGGCTAAATATGGGCCCATTTCTCACGTACGATGAGATCAAACAAGTGGTCGCATCGGGAGATCTCATTGAAATACAGCGCTCGGGTTATAAACATTGGGTAATATGCGAGTCCAATGACAATGACCAGGGTGGTACTGTCTGGTGCTTTCACGTGTCGTCCATCAACAGTAGGGCTAAGCATAAGGTGTACGTGAGATATGAACCACTCATTGATATACTGCCAAAGAGGACGGGACTGAAGGGTGGGACATGTGTCGAGTCAACAATCAGGAACAGGAGGCCGACAAGACTGGACTTATAGCCCGGCCACTGGATCAGGTGTTTGAAGATTTACGGACGTTAGTGGACCAGAAAGTGGAGTACAACCTCAATGTAAATAAAAATACAATTCACATTGCTAAGTTAGTTAGTAGATATTTTAATAAAACAATACTCATATTTATATTAATAATAACAATAATAAGCAAGTATATTTAGTATATTTATTGTTTTGGTGTGAATATAGCTAAGAAACTGTGAATATTACTGCACGCTATGGAAGTATGGCATCGGGTGGTCGCAACAAGTTGATATGACCGAGCTCAAAGTAATGGCCGGTATAATGGGTGTAGCGTTTGGAGGTTTGCTTAGTAATAGGGCTGCCGTTGTTATACCGGCGTTGACCCTCATGTGCTCATTAGTAATACCGTATTATATGTATATTGAGTGCAGACCCGAAAATGTAAGTTTGATTAGAGCAAGGAAAATTCGGAGACAATTAGCCCGAATGAGATTACCCATTGATGAGATTACAAGTGATTTGATTAGGCAGATATGTGTCCATGGTAAGATTACAATGTAAATAATATTGTATTTTGCAATATATGGTATGATTTAAGTGATTTTTATTTTTATATTTTTTAAAATTAATTTTGTTATACTTTTTGTATAAAATACTTTTATATGTCAAATGATAATTCTGTAATATAATAAAATACAACAATTTGTTTAAATAGATTTATATTGTTATAAATTTAGTAGATAAGTTTACACTGTATTACAATCATTCTGAAGCAGACATCCATTTCCTCTCACCAGAGATGGAAAGTAATGGTATTTATAGAGAGGTTGTCCGCTCGTGATATCGGTTTCTATTGCTATAATATTTAATATACCGTTACTTTTAATGTTTAGAAAATATATTTTTGTTTTGCAAAATAAAATCTTAGTAACTCTTTGCAAAGTAAAATATATGTTCAAACAAGTCCAACTACTTGTAAGTATGCAAAATGTGAAATACTGTGCAGGCTAAATAATGTTCTCAGAAATATAATATATTTTAATGAATTTTCTATATATCAATTTTATGAGTTATCAAATTGAAATTCAAAACAATTAATTCTTAAAATAATTTTTCTACTAATATATATAATCATTATAGCATTAATATTGTACAATTAAAAATTATTATTATAGTGTAGAAGTAAATTATAAGTATATTTCAAATACTGTATTTGTAATTTAACTCTTTTATTATTCGGAAAAATATAATATAATAAAAACAGACCACGATATTATTCAATATGATGTTTAGTTAGAAATATTATTCCCTTTTTTCAATCTCAATATAACGGGTGTCACCTCATAGTCACTGCATTTTATAAAATTTTTAAAACAATAACAAAAATCAGGATGTAAAACTTGTTTTAAATATACTGTTATATTTAACAGCATTGTATATTCATTTCCCTTACCGTCATTTTGACATCTTAAATGCGATTATCTAATTAATTCAATTAAATAAAATAATAGCTCAACTGTAAAAATATTAATTAAAATGGCCCAGTTCGTACCGCTAGCAGTTACTAACTGGCAAGTTTCATTGCAGATAAACACCGCCAAATTTGGGGTTTTGGAAATCGCGAGGTTATGATCCAACGCGCCATGTACAGACTGGCATGGGCGCCATGTTTGACCAGTGTCATCGTCGCGAGGCTAGAAAAGTGGCGGATTCAATTAAATATCAGTTATAGACTGATCTAGTTATCGTGTAATTTTAATTAATTCATTAATATCTAAGTCAAGAAACCATAGGCAATTATTTTTAAATTATTAAATTAAAAAAATATTTCTTAGATGTAATTATTATATTTATTTATAAAAATTATTATTAAATTATAAAAAGCTTTCTATTTGTATTAATAATTTAGTTTAATTTACTAGTACAGTAAAATAATAATTGTATCTATCTGGATAATTATGTACAATTTAATATGTTAACTATAGTTTATAATTTATTTATAGCTTAACAAAATTATAATGAAATTATTAAAGAAAATATAATAAAAAAAGTCAATTTTTCATATATTCCACAACATCTAATATTATAACTTTTGATGGCCAGACACAAAGCTACCAGTCCTTATATTATGCATCATAAGTAACGGTGTGTATATTTTGATACAAGAGTATATTAATGTGATAAACATTTAAGTTAACTAATATCAAACACATAGTAAAACAAAGTATTTATTGTTTATTTTGCATAAAACTTTTATGCCGTACATATTTTGTTGAAATATGATCATAAAATTCAATGTTTTTAAATACAGTAAAACATCTGTTCAGACACCGTATTCAAGTATTATTAATTTAAATCGATTTAAGTATTTTAAAATTATTTAATATCAAATTAAATATATTTTATTAATTAGTGCTGAATTAAAATACAATGCATGAAGTTTTAAAATATTTATTTAAAATTTAAATACAATAAAAAAATTTAATAAATTCATTTTCAACTGGATTTTAGTGTATTTGGTGTTACAACTTTAAAGTCTGTCGAGAAGTTTACGTCCAATAGTAATACTAATTAACTAATTGAATTATGATTAACAAAATAAGTATTTTAAAAGTATAAATTTTTTATTTTGTTTGCAACATAAAAAATTATGATTACATTAATTAAATTATGCTGATGTTTTAAAAAAACAATATCGATTATATACTGTATTTTAGAAAATGTATTCAAAAACATCCAATAAATCTGTAATCCGATAACATCTCTCAGACAAAACTACAGCCTATATTAGATAATTTGTACAATTTTTTCGATATATTTATAATAACGAGATTATAAAATGTTGCACTTATTGACATAAATAAAAATATCATGATAAACTAAATAATGTGTTTAAAAAATAAAGTATCTGTTTATGTAGTACAGTATAAAATATGATTATATTAATTAAATTATACAAATATGTTTAATAAACAATATCGATTATGGGTTGTATTTTTAGCCAAATGTAAGTCACATGAGTTGCGATATACATGCAAATCATTGCATACAAAGTGTGAACGCATTGTGTGATTGACTTATATGCATCTTGGGCATCTCGGCCATCTCGGAATTTAGCCAGATGACCGTTATTCAGTTATTTATTAAAGTTTAGGCCTTTTGGATGTGTCCCGTTACTGGCATGCCGATATAAAGTGAGGCATATATTTAAAAATAGTTATGCATAATGTTGAGCCATAGTTATACTAGAACTTATTATACAGGAAAATTATCATTTAACAAGATATTCGGTTAAAATCTATTATAATATAAAATATTTATAGATCTTAAATTATTAATAACATATTTTATACATTTTAAACATCCCCATAGACTTATAATGGAGTGACGTCATTTTAACAGAATTGTTAAATAGGAAATAGGTTAAATTTATCATATTAAATAAATAAATTTGAATTTTAATACAATAAAAATTTTAATCATTATTTAATTAATTAATAAAAAATAATGATTCAAATATTTATATTTTATAAATTATAAATTATTAAAATGAATAACAACTTTGAAATTATAAATACCAATAAAACAATATTAAATAAATAATAATATGTTTACATGATCAATATGTTTGGATGCCCGAGATGCATATAAGTCAATTCCCGCATTGTGTGTTTGCTTTCACTTGCATTCAGTCGTCATTAATTTGAACACTAACTGTAATTCCAAACCACATTTCAATACAATTTATTACAAAATTTTAATTGTATTAACAAATCATTGCTTAATAACAGTTGCCATCAATTTTACGTATTTGGGTCTAAACTCAATAGTTATAAAACTTTTTTTGTTAAAAGTTTTAATTCGTAACTCAACTAAAGGTAATCAAAAATGGTGTAAAATGTATAACAAATGCAAATGATTATAACAAGACATAAGTTTCTATTTAATTCATTTATTTACAATGATTTTCATAACTAAATATAATTAATTAAATATAAATACTCGATATTTTTATGATTTTTAGATTTGTTAGTTATGGTAAGTACCTGACTCACATAATTTCATTATTTCTTGTTAATTCGTAGTTTAGTAATACGGTATTATTAATACCGGTGACTAATACTATTAGTCTAATAGTGATTATACAGATTACAAGGATTTTTCAGCAAATATAATTTCAGCATGTAACCTTTTAAAGTTTATTACATTAAATATTTTTCATTTATATTAAATTATAATTAAATTCTATATTCCATTAAATTGCATTCAATTGTTTGCAAATAAATTTTAAAAAAATTGTGCCATAAGTTTTTAATGCAGTCAATCGATTTATAAATATAATATTACAATACGTTAGCCCAATAGGGTATGTATGTCGGTCCGGCTCGGGTTAGGCGCGTGTAGCGGACATCACCCGTAATACCAATACTCGTCGTTCGGTCGGTCGAACAGCCGTTACGTACGGCTTACGCCCGTTCTCGTGGCCACCCCTCCGGCCAATCGCACCTGTATTGTGGGGTTTTAAGGGGGTTTACAAAGGTAGCTGAGGTACACACACAAGTTTATAATCAAAAGTATTTATTTTGGCACATATATTGTAAGTGGTTATCATTAATACATAGAAATATAGGTTTTTACGGCTAAACAGAGGCTTAATAGCACTTCCCTGTGTGACAGAGAGAGTGCCAAAACCGTATAAAGCCCCGAGTGGACAGTGCGATAGTATTTTATGCCCAACTCGGGAATGGGAGGTATTGGCATTCCTATGTGATTAAGAGTTAACCAATAATGGTCTAACAGAGGATTCAATGCAGTGTACGATTAGGCGAATGGACAGTAGGCCATTCGGCCTATAGCACAATAGTTGTGTCCATCTATAACACTGCAATATTCATATCTATGAAAAATATCGTGATCAATTACAAACAGAATATTCGTATTCAAACAATAATTATTTTCATATTGTCTATTAAAATAAATTATATATTTTATTATACGTAGTCTATGATTTACGAGTGCTCATTTACGTAATTACAAGTATCATTAATTTTCTTAATTATAACTAATAAACAATCTTAAAAATACATCTATTATTATTATACTGTAATATCCATATATTGTGCATTGCATTTACATTTATAATACAAAATGCTTCACATTATACGAGTCTATTTACATGCAATTTTGAAAATGTATAAAAAGTTATCAATTTGGTTATGGAAACTAAAAAATACATTAAATGTCAAATTATCGTTGAATGATAGATACAATGACTTTATACACCATAACATCGATGAAAAGGTGCCGATCGTACGACTCGAGACATTTACTCTCAGATATTTCGTGTTGACCGCAAGTATTGACGACTACATCAAAGGTGTATTTCCAGTCAAGAACCGCTTACAAGTAATACTGGCCCGGTTCATACTATACATAGTGGGTCTTAGGTATGCCATCTCAGCCCTGGCCAACAACCAGCATATTAGGGGACTTTTATGCGATAGTAGTTACCAATTGGGAAATTCGGTCATAATCTCAATGATGATGTCAAACGCGGCGTTTATCATAGCGTTCATCGGAACTGTAATCCAATGGTATGAATATAAACGCAAACTATATTTCGTAAACTTTTTCAATGATATCAAATGCAATCAAATGGCACTTCCGTTGGACGCCAATCATCAGAAGAAATTCATACTTAAGTTAAATGTTTTGACCAAATACTTCATGAATCAGTTGTTTTGGCCGATGGTTGTCCTCACGGAAGGGATTTTTTCGTGGTCTCTATAGTCGCCTATTTTGATCCCAACTCCGGGTTCACTATTCCGGATATTATTTTGTGGACAATTTTTGACACATTTATGTTCATTGAAATGCACTCATTGTCTTGTTTTGGACTGATCCTGTTCACAATGACTTGTACTTACATAAAGTATAAGTATAGTGAGTTAAGAATTTTTGTATAAGAAAGTTTGTTGTACTTACTAACGCTGGTAACTTACATGATTCCAAATACAGACACAAACTACCTTATTGCTAATAATACAAAAAATTATTATATCATATAAGTACAATAAACTGAGAGTCGAAACATTTTATCTCAATACAAATACAGACTGTATTATACAAGGTTTAAACTTCACATAGTGTTCACCCAGTTCAAAATGTATTAGCTTATAGAGAATA